GGGCCTCAGAGCCCAATCTTTGAAACATATGTAGGATGTAATTCATACAAAAATGTCATAAAAAGATAGGGCCCCTCTCTGCCAGTCTCTTGAGCTGTGCCATTTGCAAACTCAGGTGACATAATTACTTCACCTCTAAGATGCTACAGTACCTGTAAAATCCTCTAGTAAACACTGGGGATAAGGGAAGTTGTTAGAAAATATTTATTGGCAATTTCATGCATGTGTGTGCATGCATATGCATGTGTGTGTATCCGTGCATGCATGTGAGTACATGTAAAACTCACCCAATGTTTAAATCTCACCCACCTTTTGTTTTACAGTGTTGAGTTCAATCCTTCTGCCTGGTTGAAGTGGGCTCTCTCCCACATTGCAGCAGTCAGGAGTAAACTCTTCCTTGCCTGTTTGCAATTCCTGATTCCATGGAATTTTTCTTTAACATGGACAACTTAAGGGTGTGACAACATACAGGTGAAAGAGTGCTGTAGATTCTTGCTGTTCTTACCAAATGCTCTGTTAGCTTTCCACGAATAAATTTTACTCAGTTTGTTGTTGGCCCTTGGTAGCTTTCCAGCGTTGAAGGCATAGCTCTGACAATCTGCCCAGTGTTATATATAGTTGATAGGAGGAGGAGTGACTGACCTTTTCATTTTTGTGGTACCTTACTACATTTTCTCAAGTTTGAATTTCAGTATTTCTGCCAGAAACAGTTTAGTGGTTATCTACATCTATGCAGATTATAAGAACAATGTTTTTTTCTGAGGACAAATCATTTATTAAAGAGGTAAAAACCTATTTTCCATAGCATTACTGATATTTCTTTGTACTTGACTACAGAAAATGGACTCCTCCTGTTATGCTGTTTTTCTTTTTCTTTTGCTTGATGATAAATTTCTTTCAGGATAGGTTAAAATTTTGTTTTCTTTCTTCATCTCTTCATTAGTTTTTCCTTCTGTTAATCTGTTGGTCAATTTAAAAAAAATAGCTAGCTGAATTCTATTCTCTGATTATTTCTTGTTTATAAGAGTATTTATATTTCCAAAAAGGAATAGTCAAGCACTTTGGCAAAGTGTGACTTTTTATTTTGAATGCCCCCACCCCATCTGGTTGGGTGAGTCACCAAATGCCACCAGTGGAAGAGTGACGCATGGCTGACCGGATTTGTACAGGCCTCTTGCCTCCTTATGTGCAACATCCATTTTCTACAGTGCTTTTCACATGGTACTTGTGAAGACAGCTTATACATAAGGAGTGCTGGCGCGTAGCCTGCTCCAAAATTCCCTTGCAGGTCCTGCCTGTTAGCCACTTAGGCTCCATGCTTGATCTCCATTCCAACGTCTAAACTTCCTGAAGGATTTCACTGTCTAATTTAATAATTCATACTTGTGAACTTTAAAAATTTTGACCTACCTTTCCAAAACTAATTCTGTTCATTTTTCCAGTATCTTTCTCAACACACATATTCTTCTACACTTTGAGTTTGAAAAGATAGCACTGAAAGATAAAACACACTTACATTCAATATTGTTTGTTTAGAATTAGGGATACCTGGGCTAGAAGAGGGCTACTTTTTAAGAAGATGAAGTGGAGACACAAAATATTTTAAAAGCATGTTAATATTTATTATTAATAATAGTTTTAGGTAATATGGATTTATTATTTGCTGTGTATCAAGAACAGTCAGGCCTTCAATTTAATGAGTTACTGTTTAACAGTATAAGGCAGATACTGTTATTACCATTTTATAAACAATAGAGTTTTAGCAGCTCTCAGGACTACCTGTAATAGTGCTGGCCCCTCCCCTGGGGCACGCTGAGACAGTAATTGAGACTGGGCGTGGTAGCGCATGCTTGTAATCCCAGCACTTGGGAGGCTGTAAGCAGGAGAATCACTATGAGTCTAATCTAGTAGTGAGACTCCAAACACCCTGTAGATCCTTCCCTAAAAATACAAAAAAAAAAAAAAAATGATTACCGGTAGTAAAGTAATTTGCATTATTCTCGCATATTTGTCTTGTGTCAGGTGCTTTTCCAAGATCTTCATATGCTTAACGGATTAAAGTCTTGCACTTAGAATTGTCACAAAAAATCCAATAAACAATGTTTTCACTATAATGCAGATGGGTAAGAAGGTATTCAGATGTTAAACTACTTGTTCCTTTTCATATGGCTGGTAAATGATCATTGAGGATTACAGCCCCGCCTCCTATTTCTCCGGAGAGAGTGGGAGCTTGGTTGGGAATTCTGCTTGCTTGGCACCTGATCGCGTGTCTCACTTCTGCATTTACTGCCTTGCTGTCAAATAGCACATTTGTTTCCGGTGAATTATTCAAGTTTGAGATTATAGGAAATTTCAAAAGTGGCCATGTTAGGAAAAATTTGTTTTGTATTTTTGGAAAATCCTCTCCAAAATATCAGCAAGTTTTTTTTTGTTTTTTGTTTTTTTTTTTTTGTTTTGTTTTGTTTTGTTTTTTTTTCTGTAGGCTTTGGAAAATCCTAATACAGGATAAAGCAAGAAGATACATTTTGTGTCTTGAGCTAATATTTTTAGAAACTACTTTGTTCTCTGATGGAGTCTTACAAACACAAATAAAATCCTTTGAGCCTGAGTTGGCCTTCTGAAGTCAGAGACGCAAATTTAATTTCTTTCCCCCGTTAGAGTGGTTTAAACGTATTAAACAAACCTCTAAGGAATCTTCTCTAGTTCTTAGTCTGTCCAGCTGCCCACATGTAATATGACTTTGAGCTCCCGCTCCATCCCATTGTCTCTGTCTGCTACAGGTAAATTCATAAAAGTCTCTTACAAAACATGAAGCATAATGCATAATATTTCAGGTATTTTCTGAACATCATTGAATAGACTAAGCTGAAAATTTCTAGTTCATTCCCGGAAACGGCCCAGGGCAATGATTGCAAAGGTGTCTGCTGCAATCAGCTATCTAGTTTTGTTTCTGATTCCAGTCTTACAGCCATGTTACTTTTACACATTTCCTCAGCTCTTTAAGCCTTGGTCTTCTTCTTAGTAAACAGAAATAATAATTATGTCTACATTGCCAAGTTGACAAGAGGACTATGGGTGATGATGGATTAAAACATTTATAATAACTGCTTGTTACATAAGGGAGAAATCAGAAACTGTACATAGCATTATTTAAAAATCCAGGTATCTGTTGAAGTCTACTGTGTACTGGCACTGATATTGTAAAGCAGGAAAGGTGTACTGTTCAGGCATAAGACATTTCTATTTAAACTTGTAGACTTTATATTTCTCATGGATTGATGCATGATTGCACATAATTTTAGACAATCATTAGTCATGTCGCACTCTAGACTCACATTTAGATGATAGGTGATATCCTTCAGGCATCTTTTCTATCTTATTTTATCCTAATTGATAATATCCTGTTATATCTTCTGGAACTTGATTGTGTTCTCCAGGCACCAGTTTTCTAAGTAAGCTCCGTTTCATAGGTGCAGGTGAGAAGCCTCCTATGGTGCTGTTACCCTGGTCATTAATGAACTGTGAAGTAGGGGAGAGCCACTAATAGAGCCACATCAGAGGCTTGCGCCCTTTGAAGAGTCATTTACATAGATAGAAATCAACTTAGCTCTCACACTGAGAATTTTCTTAATTTTGTTAACAAGGACTCTATGGGACAATTTTTTCCAGGAGGCTTACTTAAATCCAAATGTCTGACATCAATTTATGTAGTATTACCTGCTCCATGATCTTGATTCTATTTTTTTAAATGGAAGAAGAAATAAGCTTAGTTGAGTGCAATTGTTCTCAGAAAACTCGCACTGATTCTTCATAATTATTGTCTTCTTCCATAAGGGCTCTCAAAAATCCTTTGAAGAATCACTTACGTACACTAGACCTCAATGTAATATGTCTTCTGTAGTTTCAGATATATTTCTGTTTCTTTTTGAAAGTCGAAACTGCGGATTTCTGTCTCCAACCTTGCGTCCATCACCAACGGCCTGGACAATGATGGCTCAGAATTTACAAATTCTCTCAGAGTCTTAAGGTTTCGTTTTTAGCATCTCAGCACTTGAAGCATTTTGACATCCCCTGCAATCTCCCCATTTAGTTGGATTTCAATTTCTTTGGCTTCCTAGTTTCCTAGCCCTCTCCCGTTGAAAATCCCTCTTGACAAAAGATGAAAAAAGTGTCACTGCACCACTGACTTTAAGTCGATAACTTCCTTGATATATTTACTGAAAATAAGTGCGACTTTGATAGTTCTTTCACTTCCTTCGCATTTCTGTAACCTCTGCTTTTGGAGCTTGGTCTTCCAGGCCCTTCTTCTAGCTTCATGACATTTGCATCATCCCCCAAGCAACTGCTCCTTCCAGGAATGTATGTTGAGCACCCAGGAGTGAGTGTGCGTGCGTACGGCAGTTGCACAGGCCTAGCAGTCCTGGAGCCCAGGGTCAGTTCTCATCCTTGAGAAAAATGAAACAAACCAATAAACAAAAGCCTTAATGCATGCGTGTGTACACACACACACACACACACACACACACACACACACCTACTAGTTTATCTAGTGTAAAGTTTTTCTATTTAAAAACAGTTTCTTTTACATGCTGAGATTCTAATTTGGAAGCATCAGCTGGCCCTCCTGGGTTTCCGTTTCAATTAGACTTGCTTTCTGGGAAGAATCAGCACTTCTTCCTTCTTCATTTTCTTGGAATCAGACTGCTGAAAATTCATGTCAGTATCCAACATTGTACCCTACTCATTCTTTCTTGCAATAGTTACATTATTTTGTAAAACTAAAGGAAAAAGGATGAGACCAAAAAGCTTGTTCAATTTATGCTTACGTTGGGTTTAAATGTTAGATTTTTAAGTGTGAAAGTTTTCACGTTTAACTTCTTTTTTCTTCACAAACTCACAAGAGGTTTATTAAAAATACACTCAAATATGGGTTGAAGTTTCAGTCTTCTGAATGTGATCATGCTTTTAATGACTAACATAAAATTTTATCCACATTCTAGGACTAACACCCCGCTGGTCTGTGCCATCCTCGTAATATGGACATGGAGCATGCTGCAGTTTCCCCTCGATCTGGCAGGTAAACAGCCAATGTTGGGGCAAAGGCGCAGGCATGGCGGTGCATGCCTGCAGTCCCAGCACTTGGCAGCTGGAGGCATGAGGCTCCCACAAGTCTGAGGCCAGCTTGGGCTACACGGTGAGCTTAAGGCCAGCCTGAACTACATAGTGGGATCCTGTCTCCACACCAAGCCAAAAACGACCAAACAAAGCCAAAAACCATAATCTCATTGATGTAACCTGTGCCCTACAGCTCCAACTTCAATATTTGTGGAAAGAAAGAGAAAATCATTAACTCTTGATTCCAAACTATACTAAAGATAAGGACAATCAATGGGATTATCCCTCTGATATCCCCATGGTAATTCCAGTTCAGCTTAAAAGGAAAATGTGCTGAAATTTAGGAGAGCTGTGACTGCACTCATTCAGGTTTGTGAGCTCAAGATAAATAATTGGGTAATATCATACATTTGCATTCACTTCAAGCACTTTTTCTACTACTTAAAATCTGTGAAACTTCCTGAAAATTAATCAACATATCTGGGCCTTGTTTTTTTCATCCTTGGAATGGGATGGTAATAACAATGTTCACTTTTTGGTGGAGAGAGACATCCTGGGATTAGTTCATGGTAGGAAGGAAAGGAGAAAAGACAGGAAAAGGTATCTTTATAGAGTAAAAAATTGTTTAGGGCTCTCTTGATTTGAAGACAACGTTGATTATAAAATTACTTTTATAATCCTTTTGAGGAGAAACTGAAATAGCAATAGCTCCTGAGTGTCTAAGCAACTAGCTGAGATGTCTTACATTCTATTTTAGCAATACTAAAATAGAAATAAAAAACATTTATCTCACAATTAAGAAAGTATAATTGCACAATTGAATATATAAGCAATCACAATATTCGTATGGTGATTCAATAAGCTGCAGTTTGCAAAAGGCATGCTACATTGTTTCCTTTCCTACCCTTGTCTTCCCTTTCCTTTCCTCCTCCTAACTCTCTCCTGTGTTACCAAGGGTTGAATTTTTTCCTTTAATGCAGAGCTACATCCCAGCCTTTTTAATTTTTATTTTGACACAGTGTTTTACTAAGTAGCTAAATCTCCTGGGCTGATCTTGAACCTACAATCCTCCTTCCCCTACCTTCCCACTAGCTGGAATTACAAAAGTATGCCAGCACATCCAGTGTCTGTCCTTATTTTTTTATTTTATTTATTTATTGTATTTAGTGCAGGGTCTCCATGGACTACAGGGTCTCACTACACAGATAGGACTTGTAGTGATTCTCCTGTTTTTAGTTTCCCAAGTACTGGGATTACAGGTGTGCGCCACCATACCCAGTGTTAGTCTCAGTGTGCCCTGGGGGTGGGACCAGCACAGCAGGCCTGGGATCCAGCCTCCAACCCTGTGTCTGCCTGAGCAGGCGCTTTAATCTGCCGAGCTATCTGGCCGGCCCTTCTCTCTATGGGATCTCCAAGGGATCATTTTCATTCCACTATCAGGCCATGTATTAAGGTAATAAGAACAGTTTCAGGGCCACATAAGGAAAAATTAAAATTTTGCTTAGAGGTGGCCCTTGGAATCTCATTTGTTTTTGCTTCAATAAAGATATAAATCTTTTAAGACTTTCCAAGAAGTGGCCAGGTGTGGTGGCACACGCCTGTAATCTCAGCACTTGAGAGGCTGAGGCAAGAGGATTGCTGTGAGTTGGAGGACAGCCTGAATTACACAGTGAGCCCTTGTTTCAAAAAAACAAAATAAAACAAAACAACAAAAACTTTCAAGAAGTAAAATGTTTCCTAGGAATTTCATACTAGTGATGTCTACATCTACATTGTTCTGTATAGTTCCTGCTAGCCACATGTAGCTTTTCAAATGTAAGTTGAGTAAAACTAAAGGCTCAACTCCTCAGTCACACTAGCCATGCAGGAAATGTTCAGTTGCCACCATGGCTACCATTTCTGACAGGAGGGATATGTCATAGTTTTACTGGCGCAGAAAGTTCAGCTGGACTCTGTTGCCCTGGAGCAGTGCTGGCAAATCGACCACGTGCATCCAGGCAGCAGGGCACTGCTTGCGTCACGTGATAACCTGAAATTTTAATTTGAGGATTTCCCTGGATGCCATGTCACTTTGCTGAAATTCTAGATTGTAATTATTATCTTTTTCTTGGTCTGACTGACTTTTTGAGAGTCTATCTGCTGGCCGCAGGATTAGAATTAGTCCTTGAGAGAGGGATATTTAACTCTTTTTCTGTGTCTTTTTTGATACAGAAGTTACAGAAGTTTGAAACATTTCAGTTTCAGGATAGATTTTAGGTCACATCATCTATTTGCTGAAACAAAATTGTCAACAGGAAAGACAGAAAAAGTTTCTGTAGCTTTTTCAAACTACCAAAATCCTACTTACTAGTTATACACGAATATAAGGCAATGATGCTTCCCGAGTTAGTACATCGCACCATTAGTCACCTGGTAAGACAACAGCTGCTTAGTTGGTCTACTGATAAAATACTGGGCATGATTACTTCACATATCACTTTCTATCTTTGGAGCAGCCCTTTGAGAGCCCTTTCATGACCCTGACTTTTTAGACAAGGCAGTTACTAATCCTAAAATGTTTCTCTTCTGTCTGTCACTCCGCTGATTCTCACCCTTGGATATCTTGTGGTTAACTGCTGTGCAGAAAATTTTTATTTAAAAAAGAAATTTTGTAAACTTTGAGAGGTGATAATGTTATGCAGCTGTTTGGAAAACAAAGACCAAATGTTACTTCTGACTGGATCAGTATTGTATTTTCCAACAAACAGTGCATTATGTTCACTCGTATCAAAGCAGCTTCATAACATTCGCAATCTCTGGTGAGAAGAAGGCATTCTTTGTTTAAAGACTCCAAATGGAAGGCTTCATTAGTACAAAGGGATCATTTTCTGCCCTGACCCTGAATTAAATTTACATTTTAGAAATTAAAAAAGTTTACCCGTTGATTGGTGCTTCTTTTTGCTCAGCTATAATTACTGTAAAATCAGTAACCATACCCAGGATTTCTTGTAAGTTATGAAACAAAAGCATAAGCAATTAGGGCAACGCAAACAACAGCAGCATTTATTTGGGGTTCCTCTCCCAACCATTAGAAAAAGAAGCTTGGTGTGTATTGAATTGAAGTGCATACTTAAGCCCTTGGATTTCCACAGCACAGTTTGCACACAGGACTCAGGAAGTGGCCCACTAGCTGTGCTGATCCTAAAGAGTGACTACAGTGATCCGGGCCGCCTCCTAGCTCCATCTGCCAGGCTTCGCAGTCCAGCAAGCCTACTCACTGTCCCAAGGGAAGAGCCAGAACAAGGTGCAGAGGAAAGCGGACCTGCTCTGCTGGAAGCAGAAGGCGCCACGGCCAGGCAGCCTCCCCCCACCCCCCGGGTGGTTTGACCTCAGTCTTCAAAGGGAAAACCTGAGTCCTCAAGAGGTTAAGTCACTGCTAGATTTAAGGCACCTGGGTTCCCTGGCGGGAGGCCTGAGCCCACTTCCGGGCTGTGTCCCCGCACTGCAGAGCCTGCACTGCCGCGGTGTCTACTTCGTTCTGTCTGTCGGTGCCTTCCCCCAGGGAGTGCAATCCACGTGCCTTAGGGGGATGGGAAGCCAGGGCTAGACCCCTCCATTCATGATTAGGCGCCCCGGTCAGCTCCCTGTCCAATCTCACGAAGTCTAACTTGTCTCCCTTCAGAGGGTCAAGTGAGTGGGTCTGTCTTGCTCTTCCAGTGCAGCAGGTCGCGTGCCCCTCGTCCGTGGTGGCCCGGGGATCCCCCAGCCGGTTCTTCTGCCAGTACAGCTCTGACCTGTGGAACATCGGCATCAGCATCTTCATCCAGGACGGGCCCTTCCTCGCCGTGCGCCTCGTCCTGATGGCCCACTTCAGCGTGGTCAACCAGATGCTCGTGTTCTTCGCCGTCAAGAACCTGCTCGTGGTGCTGCTGCACCTGTACCGCTTGGTGGTCCTGGCGTCCGCCTTCCGAGCCTCCCTGCGACGGCAGCCAGAAGGGCCCAAGGCAGAGCGCGGCTGCCTGCGGGGCACCCCTGCGGCTGGGCCAGGGGCCGGGGGCCGGGGCTCGTGGGAGGGCCCGGACGTCCCTCTGCGAGTCTCGCCAGCGGTGCCTGACGCCGCCCACCCTGCACCGTAGTCGCTCGGTTCCGCAGGGTGCAGCCCGGAGGACGGACTTCTCCGTTCTGCTTGGACTCCCCTCTCATTCGGTTTTCTTTACATCTTTGCGTAGGATAGTTTGCAAAGAAACACCATGACAAGGTGATCTTAAACCTAAGCCATAGACTTTCCTTTCTGCAAGGAGAGGAATGGAACTTGGATTCTGGTGACGGCTACAGCTTCTCTGTGACGGCAAAGGAGGCCACAGTTGCGCAGTGACTAAGTGATGTCTTTGTGCAGAACTGTTTGAAGAGCTGTGGACGGGCCGCCGTGGCGTGGACTCGAAGGAGCCAGCGCAAGCTCTCATGGCTGTTACCCGAAAGTACAAGGACTTCATCTTGGGCTCCAGTATGCGACTGTCCCTCGTGATCTCTTCTTCCGTGTCCTTCTGGCATCAGAGAGATGCACATTCAGTGAATGCAGCATGAATGAGGGACAACGCCTTGCAGTTACCTCGCCGCGGGCCGGCGGCAGTGAACGCGTCCGCGCAGCCCCCGGCTCTCAGAGACCTGTGGTGGGCCACCAGCCCTCGCAGGAAGCCGTTTGGTCACCTGTGGCTGCTGGCAAGGCAGGAAACACCGGTGAAACGCTCACACGGTCACAGTTTCCACTTTGAATATCATTTGAGGTATGGTCAGCCCCTCATTACCGTTTTCTACGTTGCTAAATCGAATCCCCCGAGCTGAGGCAGGGACGCTCTGGACCGTGGATGAAGGTGTTCAGGGCCTTCAGGGTGACCACGGTTTGTGGCATCTGCCTGCAGCAGCGAGCAAAGATGCATCTGCTCCAGACTGGCTCTGGAGCTGGTTCTTGGGCCTCCGGCCAGGTCGATGGATATAAGTCTGTCACCGCTGGAGCCGTCGCCGCCGGAGCGGTCGCTGCCGAGCCGTGGCCGCCAGAGCCGTGGCTGCCCGAGCCATCGCCGCCCAAGCCGTCGCCCCCCTAGCCGAGGCCTGTGCTGAGCGACAGAGGGAGCTCACAGCTGGCCTTGGCATCATGGGACTTCAGGCAATTCACTTCATCGTCTCTCTGCTGACATTTCCATTTGCTACAATTTAGCCATTTTGCCCCCTCACACCTCTGTACTTTCCAGGTGGAGGTGAGTCTGGAACTTTTAAAGTTATTTCTGTTTTTAAATGTAGAGCGAAATTCCTGGAGATACAGCTCAGCGGCACAAAGGCTTGCCTGGAGAACACAAGGTCCTGAGTTCGAGTCTTGGTACAAAAAAAAAATCACACAAATGTATAGTGGGAAAATGTATGTGGTTGTGTAGTAGTAATTACGTTAAGCAGAGATCCTCCTAGTTAGTATGCTCAGGAATTTAAAGGGACATTTTCAGGTAGAAATGCCTGTTGTCAGCCACTTGAAGCAGTTTTATCTATAAATCTCTCTGTGGCATAATATCCGTTCAAACATTTGACTAAAAAGTTTCACAAATACATTCTGATTTTACATAGATTAGTGTATATTTTTCAATGATTTTTTTTCTTCCTATACATCTCATTTTAACAATATAAGGTTTGTAAAATTACACCTGTAACGTGTGAAATATATTTATAAGTATACATAATAATTGTATGCATGTTACGGTCAGGAAATTATATTTATGAGAAATGAAAAACCGACAACTTCTAGGGGCGTGCTAGTTCAAATGCTTACCAGAGTAAAGCAAAATAATAACTGCTATTTATGCAAATGCCTCCACAGAATCTGTTTTTATGTTGACAGTTTTCTGTTGACTCCTTCCTTCCACAACATGTATGTGCCGCTTATTATTGCAGATTTTCTCGTGGCATACTTTTCATGTTTTAATTTTTTTTCTTCCAGCAAAACAAACACTGAGTCTCTATTTTTAGTAGAAAGTAGTACGGCTGTTGTGGGGATATTTTTAAGTGCTTTTAAATCTGAGACTTGGCTTCGATCCGTGAATGAGTTTTTAGTGTTTAAATGAAGTATTGTGTAATTAGCACTCCTCCAAAGGCCTGGGAAAGAGAAAGCATGTCCAAAATCTGGCTTTGTTTAGAGTGCCAGGAAGTCAGAGAGCAGCCGGGACCATCTTGGCAATTAATTATGGTAAAAATAGACATATATTCTGTAAGGTTTTCCAGAGAAATCTGCTAAGAGCAACATTTTTAAATCTAATTGCCAGCACTTCCATTCTCTTAAACTGGTTGTCTTTATAAGTTTTTATAAAAAAAATCTGGTTTTGTTTAATTTATTTGAAAAGTACCCTAAATCTAGCTTGTATCCCTGATAAAACTGTGTTCTACTGTGGACAGCTAAACATTGCAATGTTTTAAAATATCCAAGTGTTTGCTCCAAAGTGGTTGGAATATCATTCATCTCCCATATGTAGGCATCCTGGGACTTGCATTTTCTTTGTAATCAGCTAACTGATTGATATCATGCATTTAATGTGACACAGGTCTTCCCCTCCCCCACTCCACCCAGCCTGCAGACAGCACACAGCAGTTTCCAACCACTGAGGAGAGCATTTATTTACAGTTAGCGGATCTAGTTTTATTGCCATCAGTGTTATCTTTTTGTTTGATCAAAGCTCAGCCAAATCTCACCCCTACAAACAGCTTTCTACAGTATTTGTAAGAAAACACAATGTGAATGTCTTAATGATTACATGCAGAAATGCACCTTGGGACCACCTTATGTGTGTCATTAGATGATCCTCAGGTGACATGACAGTGTGGCAAAAAGAGTAAGCTATTCTTATCTTGGATTTTTCTGTTAATTTTTAGATCAACTGCAATAACATAAGAAAATAAAGACTTGAGGTGGTGAACAGCACTCTTTCAAATCTTTCAGTGAAGAGTCTGAGACAAATTTATCTACCACATTGGCCATAGTTTCATTAGTCTTTCTAGCTATATAGATGTAGGCAAGAAGTTTCAATGTTTGCTACTATAATATAAGCCATTAACTCATTAACTAATAGAAAATTTTCAAATCAATGGGATGCTCATGGTTTGGAATTTCCACCAGGTTTCAGAATTGAGCATTGACTCTTTTCATCTTTGGCATTTAATAGTAATGAGTTTTAATCAGTTATTCTATTAAAAGAGAAAAAGAACAACAAAAGCCCAGCCTCTGTTTACCTTCATTCCACTCCAAAACAAGCTAATATATACTGCAGAGCCTTGTAGATGCAAAAGAGGAACAGAAATAGCTTCAGTTTTAGAGAAAAAGGAACACTATTGCTTTCTCTAATTCTATATTTTGCTTTTTACGTAGGGGATATTTTGGACTTCTCTTGGGCATATCTAATAAGGTTAAACCAGGCAGGGCATATTTACAGCATCGAGCCTCAAATAACTTTCTGTATGATGGCAGTCACCAAAGAATATCTGAATAATTACTTCTGCAGCCTTATATTTATAGGTGCTAATTTTCTGAGTCTTTCTTACTAGAACACTGTATAAGACTATTTTTGAAATGTTTATGTTTTTTAAGACTGGTCTATGTATTTTATTATATACATTAAATAGTGAGTGAGTGGAAAACTTTATCTCTGTGTCTACTATATTTTAGCCATATTGCATGTCTTGGTTCCCCGCTATGATTTACTTCCTTTATGGTTTTTAAGATGTAACTTGAAAAACAAAAGTGATCTACTCAGAATACGATTAAAGCGGCATTTCAAGCTGGTGAAGAGAGGATGACCAGCTTTATACATAATGTCGGGAAATTTTGCAATACATCTGGAAACAATAAAGTTAGGTTATTATCTCATACAATCTATAGAAATAAATTCCAGATGGATTGAAGACCTCATTGTAAAATGAAAACTATAAATATGAAAAGAAAATATAGAACGCGTCGTTAGCATTTGGGGGTTGGGAAGGACCTTCTGAAGTAAGACATGAAACCCAGAAGCCAAGGAGCAGATTGGCAGCTTTTCCTAAATTATCATTTACCGTTCATGGAGAGCAAAGGATGCCATAAATATATCACCACTACTTGCTGGAGAAAAAGTGTGAGAGGGCAGCTTCATTACTGATTCACATAAGATCATAGGAAAGCATACTAAAACCTAAGAGGTAACTTGAGGTAACACAAAAACAATGCTTCTCTATGTACAAATATAACAGAACACATGTTTGAAGAAAAGACTCTGTATAACATAAACTAAAATTAGAAAATACATAGAAACTAACTTAATGTACAGAATCGATGTGAAGAAAACTTTAAAATAATTTTGAGACTTATACATGAATAATTTAACAAATGCAAAGATACAGTCTTTGGCTAGTGTTACGATATCTTGATATCTTATGAAGTATCAATTTCTCCTGAATTGATCTACACATGTGACATAATCCCCATAAGGCTATCAAAAAGATAGTAATTTTAGTCACTAGATAAGCTAATACAAAAATTTCATGCTAAAGTGAACATAAAAGAAAGCTGAAAAATATTAAAAGAAAACAAATAGCGAGAGGACTTTAATATATTTAACTATATTATATAGCTAAACTTACCAAGATAATTTAGTTCTGGAACACAAATGGAAAGACAAGAAGATGAGCCTAATAAAGTTAATAAATAGACTACTATACAAGAGAGTTGGATTTATGATAAATCGTAGGGCGTGGGTAAAATACTAGGTTTTAGAAAATATTAAATTGCTTTTTTACCTTAATCCTTATGTCCAAAACATTTCCAGATGGATCCAATAATTAAACAATAAATAACAACCAAACGTAGCAAGCATTGCTTTTATAATTGCAATAGTGGAAATGCTTTTTTAACAAGATATAAAACAAGGAAGCATAGCAGACTCATAAATTTTAGCTCACTGATATCATAAAAATGCTACATACAAATTCAAATGTTGAACAACAAAATGAGCACATGTAACAACAGGACAACAAACTGGATAAGTGTGTTTGTAACAAAGCTACACAGACATTAGATTTCAGTGAACAAACAGTCCCTCCAAGTAAGGACAAAGGGTGAAAAGCCACAGGGAAAATGTGCAAAGGATGTTTTTGCTGTGATTAGCTGCATATAATTCACTGCATATGAAGCACTGCATATTTACTGCATGATTCATGTGTCTGATTCACTGGAAAAGACATAAAAATGCAAATCAAATAGCAAGGAAATACCATTTTTGAAATGAAAACTAAACTCCCACATAACCACATTTCACTTATTAGATTGACAAAGATCCAAAATGGTTTTCGGAATGCTGCGGTAGAGGCCGGTCACGGGAGGCAGACGCTCTTGCTCATGGCCACTGAAGGTAAGGATCGATGCAATTCCTTTGGAAGACAATTTGGCAATATCAGTTCCAGATAAAATAAAATTTATTATTTGACCTAGGAAGTCAGCTTCTAAGGTTGTATTCAACAAATGCATGTGCACAAGAATGTTGTATAAAGTTATTCAGTATTTTCTATAATATTTTCATAGCTTTATCAATGAGGTCATGGGTAAACAATGTAATCTCTTTACTTCGTAATACCATCTAGACCATACAAAGAATGAAGTATGACCATAAATGTTGATAGGAGACAATTGTTTACATAGTTTCTTAGATAAAAGTAGAGATGAAAATCAGATTAGCATGTTGTTCTTCTGTAAACGTCATCTACATCTTTGCAAATGGCTAATGCTTAAACATAAAAATATTTCTCAAGTTTCAAATGACCATACCCAGTTCTGCCTTTTTTTTTTTTACTTTTTGACTTTGTATAGCTCATGTTTTAAAATTTTGCATTGATTTTGTAATTTATAAAGTGATTATAAATAACAAAAAGTCTCACTAACTTGCAAACTTGACATGAACTTACTGCCGCAGAGGCTTTCAAACAATTTTCAAACAATGTAAAAATATCATTTATTTTTTATCAAAGAAAATATAGTGCCATTATAACTAAGGATGAACTGCTGAAGCTTGAGATAAATGACACAAACTGTCAAATTTTACCTGCATGACGAAGCAGCAGCTATTTGGTGATGAAATCATGAGTAGGTCCGTAATGAAAAGCAGTGTAGTCCGGTCTTTCTTGAGGCATGCTGTGTAGACTGCTTCTTGGTCAGAAGCTTCTTGCTGACATTTAAGGAATCACCAAACTCAAACTGATTTTCTCAGGAGAGAATGAGAACTAAATGGGGCGGT